GAGAGAGTGAGAGAGTGAGAGAGTGAGAGAGTGAGTGAGAGAGTGAGAGAGAGAGTGAGTGAGTGAGTGAGTGAGTGAGAGAGTGAGAGAGTGAGTAAGTAATGTATGGGAGCGTAGACTGGGATGGTATGACCACGCAAAGAGACTGGAGGAAAATGAGCATATATGGATGTGTTAGGTTGATGGTAAAGTGGTGGATGTGGACTGGATATTGTGGAGTGGCCAAGGGTGTCAAGTCTAGCTCCTCTTCCCTTGAGGGGACAAGCGGGATGATGATTACGATTACTTTTATTTGACTTTGGGCGCGGGGGTTGTAGTATATATAATTTTATATATCACTGCTGCTTTTGCATCGAATTCCAAAGCATAAATTCCAAATGTAGAGAGCATTATTAATTCAGGGTATTAATCACACGAAGGTAGCATGAGAAGTGCGGCCATTCAGAGGCTGGGGAAATTAAGGCAAAATACATAAGGCTTTCATGGTCTTATATATACGAGGGGCTGGCGATGCTGAGCTGTTGTAATGGAATTTACTATAAAGTTAACCTTTGTGAACTAACTGTATACCATGAATGGCAAGAACATGCTTGAATTGATAAATGTCTTGTGAGAGTCTCATACTGATGTATCCTCATTCTTCCTGTATAACTCTTGGGCCCGCGTAATGCTTGATGTGATCGGTCACACTGAAAAACCAGATGTGGAGTGAGCTGAATAATATGTGCATCTCTGCAATACCACATCAGCACGGTGTGTCCACAGCTTACAGGGTTTATCAGTGTCACCTTTTGGTATTAAATTATAGTTTAGGACATTTACGTCAGTTAAACACAAATCCATCTTATCGTAAATTGCATGAATTATTGCAATATCATGCCTTTTCAGTAAATGTATTTTGTCTTTTATAGTTCTCAACTGACCATAGTCATTTTTAACAGTCCTTACAGTAAATAGTTTAGCAATTGAACCTGGTTGAACACGCTATTTTCAATACAGTCAAACCCCTATAAACGAAAAAGTCGATACTTTGGAGTACAATCATTTGTCCAGACAAGACGTAGTATGATAAAACGGCCAGGACTGAAAACAGCAACAACCTTTTGGTAATTTAATTATCAGTAAAGATGTAACATCTCAGCATAAGCTGATTAACTTAATACTGTATGTAGTAGTACAACTATTCAATCATGCTTTAAGTTAAACACGATCTCACTCTTTGCGCATTAAACGAAGTGGCACGGTTTTTAGTGTTCCGTCTTTCTTGTACATCACGGTATTTTGTGTAGTGTCCTTGGCAGTCGTCTTTACCAGGAGATTATCAAATGACATGACAATAACTTGTATCTTGTCCATACAGGGTCTTGTCAATGCCGTGTTTGGTGCCTGTGGTGGACTTAACGATAAACAACCAACAGAAGATAAGAACAACCTTGTTTCTGGTTCTGGAATTTCACCTACTTTATTTTTGTAATTGGACACCCAATTTTTGGTTAGTGTCTGTGGATCACAAGCTTTATCAAGATGAGGGTAACTGGGCAGGTTGTATACAGGATTTTCACCCTTAAACGCTATTTTTAGTTTATTGATCAGGGCTGGGGAATAGTACAAAGTGTTTCGGATAATTTTCAGGGCATCAAACGTACGGTAAAGGTATTTTGTCATGGACAACAGGCATTGTTTGGCATTTTTATTTCCACAATGACTGAATCCTTTATTTGCATCAGCCCAGTTCTCGATCATTGAAACCCAGTAATCCATCACAGTCATTCCTTGTTTTATATCCGCCTTTTTTAGTTGCATCACACCAACTACATGCCTCATGGCCCCTTTTGTATGGTAAGCTTCAGCAGCATACACTAGAGCTATACTCATCTGTAAAAGATAAAAGCGCAGTTTAATATCAGGGGCGTACACAGCGGTGGGCAACTGCCCCCTAGAGAAAACTATATTTACGATTTTTAGTATGACATTAATTCTTCTTTGGGTATTTGGGACTTTTTTCGGCATATAGGCCTATATTAGTACTGCCCCCCCCCCCCTCTGGTGAAAAAATCCTGCGTACGGCCCTGTTTAATATGTGTAATATTAACAGATCGCCACTAAATGTTTCATCATCAAGTTTGGTAATTTTGAAATATAATCGTGTGTCTTAAATTTTGAGTGCAAAAATTATATTTGGAATATGTACGCGGGTACGGCTTGGAAATGAACCAAGATTTTTAATATCTTCAACTCTTTGTTTGAATGCCTTCCAGGGCCAGGATAATGATATTCTGTCATTTTTCCTTGAAATGCGCGCATTTGTTGATATTTGAAAACGAATTGACAGCTAAAGTAGCGTATCAAATCATGCAGAGTTTCAAATATATTACGCACGATTTCTAATGTAGGTTTGTACCAGCGGTCTTCTTGGAACACATCTTGGTCTACTTTTATAGTTTTACTAAATTTTACCTCCCATACAAAACTGGCAACATCTTCTGTACTTCTCAAATCCTCTTTCACCTCGTTCTCTTTGAGTGATTGTACAATTTCGGAATACCTCTTATTATGTGCTTTTCGTAGGTTGTCAATATCTGTGAAAGGGGTTTCTTTATTGTTCCACCTATCAAATTTCGAGATCCAAAATCGGAAAGGAGCTCTGCGTTCAGAAATTCCAAGTGAAGATGATGAGGTGCCAAGATTGTCTCGTGCATAGGAAACGAATTCATCGTAGTAGGTTTGGTGAAATCTTGACATCTATAAGGAATGTAAAAAACAACTATACTATGCCAGTGCCTATACAAACATCCAGGCGAGTTTTCGCTCGAAACGTCCAAGTTTGTTCTTATTTTTTAGGTAGTGCATCCTGCATCCAATTAAGCCCGTCAATTCTATAGTCTTCGCTACCTACACTGGCATCCAAAATTCAAACTATTCTAAACCTAGCAATACATCATTGCAGGCTCTCTTGACATGGTCTAGCTTTGCAGTATGTGAACATTTTTCCCCGACCCGTAATCACCTCGTCATTGACAGTTAATTTGATTATTTTCACTACAGTCACAATATTGTCATTAGACACGATCAGCAATTGCGGCCATGCACAAATTGACAGCTAAGCCAGATTATTCACACTGCTCTGCAGTCGATATATTTGGACATAGGCTTTTGGAGAAAGCATGTTCATATAGTAACTGGCCAAAAACCGGTGTAGTCAAGAAAACAACACTGATCGAAACGTTTTTGGTATAAATTTTTAAACAACTTACTTGAGATATTATCCGCTAATGAGTAATGATTGTATTGAAATTCGTTTTATATACTTGAACATACAATCATGGAAATTAATTCGTAGACAAACCAATAATTTCCCAAATGTTCCCCCCTATACAATGTTCATGTGTGCATGAGTTCACTGCCAAAGGTTTATGTCATGATCAAGAATGTGTTGGGGGGAGGGGGGAGGGAGGAGGCCAAGGGGGGGACTATTTTGGAAGTGGATATTAACATCTTTAACAACTGGCATCCAACAATGCTAACTATATGTATGCTTTTTATAAGAAGTCTACGTATATTATTTCCATGATTGTAGCTGGAAGTTTCCTACTCCTGGGTCATTCATTTGGATTCTCGTACTCCGAAATACGTTTCCCCCGTATAATGCCCCGTGTCACGTGTTCAACGATGCGGTATATATGCATGCATAATACACGCTTTCGGAAAGTACGGCACCTTGGCAATCTCTATTTGCCGCAATAGAGTCTCGTTCTCGTGATTGCGACGCTTGGCTTTAGCTAATGTTGCATACACGAAAACGAGGCTCTATAGAGTGAAGGTAGTCTCGTTTGGGACACTTTCATGGTTTTTGTCCAGACCTTTATCGCTTGGTTTGTATTCTTGGGTCCAGATACTGCTGTACTGCCTATGTTATTCCAAGAGAGCGATAAAACCTGGGCCAGGCTTATCCAACACCGCGGAAAAACGTCTGCGCATGCGTCAACCTTACCTGTAATAATATTGCGAACTTGATGAGAAGCTGTTCCGAACGTTTCCGAAGGCTCAAAATGGCGGTAAAAAGGAGTGACTTCATTGTGCGTCTTTACAGCCAGATTTCGAGCGCAAAAATAAACATGTCATTCTAAAAACTAGGAATAAATATAGCCAGAAGGTTCAAGAAATTTTATTGTAGAAGAACATGAACTAAAGGTGATTGTTGACAAATTTATCGTCTGAAACATTTTGTTTATCAACTAAGCAACGACAATTTCCGAATTTTCGTTTGAGATACATTTCTTTAAAAAAAACTGTGTCGCCAAATATAAAAAATTTTCGTGTTCACAATAATTAAATTTTAGGATTTATTCTACAATTTGAGTGGGTTAAGAAGCTTAACTTTTCGAACGTTTTCTTAACTTTTTAGTTTGAATTTTTGTTTTGAATAATTTTGCAAAAATTTTCGAAGTCGTGTCCGTTAAAATCAACAATTTTTTACATGAATTATATTTCATTCCATACTTTAAATGCCAGGACGCTTTCAATTAATGTCTAGTCTACCCATTTGCTATATTTTCTCGTTTGTTTTACTAATTTTTGACCAATTAATAAGCATGTTTTTGTTTTAGAAATTGATATTCAAATTCCCCGCCATATTTTCATAATTTGGTGCATGCGCAGACGTTTTTCCGCGGTGTTGGCTTATCCAGGTTAAACCAGTGAACTCTAATAACTGGATAGACTTGCTCCAAGTCTCTCTTTGTGGAGACCCACTATATTGTACGTTACATGACGTACCGCTGAGGGGGAGAGGAGGAAAGAGAAGAGAGACTTGTAACATCTGGCAGCAGAAATACTTCCGGCTGGTCAATTTCGACCAGCCGGAAGTAGATGGCCGCATTGACTTATCATGTGTTTAGGGGGGGGAAGGCGACATCTGGACTTATTTATTTAACATAACTAATTTTGTATTCACGAGATTTCTTGTAGATTTCACATCACTTTTGACTGCGTGCATTTGGAATTTTGGGCATTATTTTTGCAATTTATTGTAAACAACGATTATAAGAAGAACGGATAAATTACAAATCAGCCGTTAATCGTCATAAACCTCGATGACCACCAGGTTTTTGTGTTTGACAATTTGTATTTCATTAGATATTTATATGCAAGGTCAGTATAAACGGGTTATCATATAAAATGATCATTCTAATGAATTGATAAAACGAATTATATCTAATATGTACGGCCGCGTTTTTTACACGGCCACTACTGAAGCGTTTAGCTTGATTGTTGAATAAATCGATGACTTGCTTAGTTGCTTTCTGTTTTGAACTTAACCACCGTTATAAGCTAAACGGGCTTGATACAACTGGCCACAGACTCGGCCCCAGATAAACATTTTTGTATTATCGAGATCGAAACTATAGTAAATTGGAAACCGTGTCAATAATACAAAACGTACAATGAACTTATGAACATGCGGAAAATTTTAAAAATTTGTATAAATTTTGGGCGTGACAATTTTCCGCATGTTCATAAGTTCATTGTACGTTTTGTATTATTGACACGGTTTCCAATTTACTATAGTTTCGATCTCGATAATACAAAAATGTTTATCTAGGGCCGAGTCTGTGGCCAGTTGTATCAAGCCCGTTTAGCTTAAACGGTGATTAAGCTCAAAACAGAAAGCAACTAAGCAAGTCATCGATTTATTCAACGATCAAGCTAAACGCTTCAGTAGTGGCCGTGTAAAAAACGCGGCCGTACATATTAGATATAATTCGTTTTATCAATTCATTAGAATGATCATTTTATATGATAACCCGTTTATACTGACCTTGCAAATAAATATCTAATGAAATACAAATTGTCAAACACAAAAACCTGGTGGTCATCGAGGTTTATGCGGCTGATTTGTAATTTATCCGTTCTTCTTATAATCGTTGTTTACAATAAATTGCAAAAATAATGCCCAAAATTCCAAATGCACGCAGTCAAAAGTGATGTGAAATCTACAAGAAATCTCGTGAATACAAAATTACTTATGTTAAACAAATAAGTCCAGATGTCGCCTTCCCCCCCTAAACACATGATAAGTCAATGCGGCCATCTACTTCCGGCTGGTCGAAATTGACCAGCCGGAAGTATGTCTGCTGCCAGATGTTACAACTCTTCTCTTTCCTCCTCTCCCCATCAGCGGTACGTCATGTAACGTACAATATAGTGGGTCTCCACAAAGAGAGACTTGGAGCAAGTCTAGGCTGTTAAGGGAGGGCGGCCAAGAACCACCGATAATTTTCAATATTAAAAATTGGTCAATAATGATCGCTGTTGTTGGTCTGAAATTTTAAATAGGTTTGTGGTCAGTGGTCAACAGCACTAGTTGCTAACGGTACAGTTAACGTATTCTGCAATGACGTAATATAGACCTTAAGAGGCAGTCCGTGTAAAAACCGACCACTCGAATTTCTTAAGATTACAGATTTCCTTCAAACTTTCTGTGTGGAAGAAGTCATTCATAAAATGAACCAAAAACGTTGACTTGGAAATTGCAGTCAGTTTTAAAAATTTTTTCGCAATTATTTTCGGACGCGTTCGAAAACAAGTTAAAACGTTAATTACGCAAGTGATATTTGAGCTTTTTTATATCTCACAGTTCATCTCGCGCTTTTATTCTAACTTCTTGAAACTTACATATTTTATTATTTCCTGCCTAGGCATAAACCTAAACTAAAATCTATGCTGATCACTTGAAACAAACAAAATATTGTGCATTTTTAAAAACGTTTTTCAGACAGCGGATTAAATATTCGTGTTAGTATGCTGGCGGTAAATTATTTTTTCTCAAAAGTGCAACGGTATCAGGTATCCAATCTATTGCAGCTACTGAGTATTATGACACATCTACTAGAATAAATAATAAAATCTTTGGGCAGTGTGTTTTTCACTTGACAAGCGCGTCATGAATATAGTCAATTTTCGCTAATTCGACTAATTATAAGCTATAATTTGTTAATGCATTTACTTAAATTTTTCGCGTTAAAAACATACAAAATTGTTCACTATCTTTCAAATATGGCTGTTTTTTGGATAGAGACTAAGTTATAAATATGCCAGCATTTATGCTAGCTTTATAACATAAAGCAAAAGTCCTGACGCATGTGCCGACTGAAATTGACATGCACGCGTTGCTAATTTTATCCGCCGGTATTATCTTTTTATTATTTATCAGTGCATGTATGAATGAACTGTAAACATACTGATCTTGGTAACTAAAACTATATGCACCGATTTCCTCCGAATGTACACATCTATCACAGGAGAGTATTAGAAGAAAGTATATTATACAATTTATTAGAGAGTAATGTTTTTCGCGTGAAAAGCGGTTCATATGTAATCCCCGTCATCGCTTGAAGTCGGTCAACGCGTAATTTCAAGTTTTTCTTCGCTTTCTTAACAATATATTTATATCGTAAAATCATTACAATTTTAAGTCGTTGAAGTTGGTGGTGGTGGTGGGGGGGGGGGTTAAAATCCCCCAAAGAAAAGTCAAGAAAGGGCCCAAATATTTTCGGGCAATATAGACCACAGCTCCTCCAATAGATATATGAATCCCGTACGCCTATGAGTATACTACTATACATTTATATTGCACTCATGTGCATAGAGAGACAAGGTACGAAATTAGAATCTATAAACAATCAACTTTAATACATGCATGGTTGGGTATACAAAAACGTTTTGCCGTAAAAAAGAATTTCTTTCTTGTTGCTTTGAGCTATTAGGCTATATTAAAACCGACGAAACATGTAGTAAGCGTATATATTAAGTGAAAGTGAAACTTATTCTCAAACAAATAAATGAACCAAGACTGCATGTCGTAATCTCTCTGAAAGGGCGAAGCAGTAACTAAATGGTGTATATATAGAGGCATCTAACGGCAAGTGATTTCAACCTCGTACCCAGGGCTAGTCGCGAATTGAAGGCGCCGCCTTCAATTCGCGACTAGCCCTGGGTACGAGGTTGAAGTGATTTAACGATCACACGGAGGGGTTATTAGAGACCTTACGATTTTAGGACGGCAACGCGATGACGACGGCCAAAACAAACTCCCTCAAATAAATGGTAGTATTAAGCCCATTATTTGTTGTATATTAGTTTCTCATCCGGGGCTTCTCCTAAAGTGGATGCGGGCTGGCGGGCCAATACCATTATGCCACTATTTGCTGGATTTCCCCTCCTCATAAAATTTATTTTAGAAAAGTGCGCATTAAGCATTTATATAGCAACTTTCTGGAAAACAGCACAAAATCAGTAAGTGCAACTGAAAGCATGTTTTCATAATTTTGTACCCAGAACGTCTGGCGTTTTTCGGCCCTGCCCCTGGCTTCCGGTAACATAACTGAGTTTTATAGCTGAGTTTGGATATTTAATAAGTGTGTACGTAATGCGGGAAAAACTTGCAGTTTGGTTATGACATTTTGTATGTTAACTATAACATTTGGTTTGGGAACGTTTCTAATTGTCTTTCTTTCAAATTTCACTTTGAAGACATCACAAAATTTATAATAATGGTCAAAAATGGCAATAATAATGGCGAACAAGGCCATTTTCTTAAAAAAGCATGCGGGCGGGGATGAGAAACTAATATACAGCAAATAGTGGCCTATTGCAATTATTGAATTCTTTTTAATTATTTATTGTATTTGTAGCCGTTGCTGTCCTAAATCGTAAGGTGTCTATTTAAAAATCGGGGACCATGCATGCAAGGTAAGCCGATGGTTAAAAATTTTTCGAGTATGCGGACGTATATGCATGCACATGCATGGTTTACGCTACTCATACGTTTCTCTCATACGCAATAGTGTGACAGGACCTTAACCGAGATCAGCATGTAATTGCAGTTCTTAAAAAACATGAAAATATTAAACATGTATAAAATATTTGTTTCATATTATAGTGGCAAAATAAATCTGCACTATATCTATGATGAGAAAAAGTGCTCCTTCAAGGCATTCGTATAATTTGGCACACATATATCCTTTCCCGCACTTTTCTTATACATTTTTGTTTATATATACCATGCATGTAGTATTTAATGATACCGATAAACGTAAAATTTCAAGCATATATAATTGCTGGCATACTTATAACTTACTCTCTATCCAAAAAAGAGCCATATTTGAAACAGTAAACAGTTTTGTATGTTTTTAACGCGAAAAATTTAAGTGAATGCATTAACAAATTATAGCTTATAATTAGTCGAATTAGCGAAAATTGACTATATTCATGACGCGCTTGCCAAGCGAAAAACACACTGCCCAAAGATTTTATTATTTATTCTAGTAGATGTGTCATAATACTCAGTAGCTGCAATAGATTGGATACCTGATACCGTTGCACTTTTGAGAAAAAATAATTTACCGCCAGCATACTAACACGAATATTTAATCAGCTGTCCGAAAGACGTTTTATAAAAATACACAATATTTTGTTTGCTTCAAGTGATCAGGATAATTTTTAGTTTAGGTTTATGCCTAGGCAGGAAATAATAAAATATGTAAGTTTCACGAAGTTAGAATAAAAGCGCGAGATGAACTGTGAGATATAAAAAAGCTCAAGTATCACTTGCGTAATTAACGTTTTAACTTGTTTTCGAACGCATCCGAAAATAATTGCGAAAAACTGACTACAATTTCCAAGTCAACGTTTTTTGTTCATTTTATGAATGACTTCTTCCACACAGAAAGTTTGAAGGAAATCTGTAATCTTAAGAAATTCGAGTGGTCGATTTTTACACGGACTGCCTCTTAAGATCTACGACGGCAACGTGACGACGACGGCTAGTAATGAAATTAATATAAAGTATTGAAGAAAATTAATAAATAATTAAAATGCCACGGAAGATTTAGACGTCGTCCTCGGTCTGTTTACAACTGGTAAACCAGAGTTTTTACGTTGTATGCACAACGTTTGCATTTTAGTCACGTAAGAAGTGCATACTCGGCAAAATGGTTCAGTACTAATGTGGAACTCTACTCAATACAAAGCTTCTGTTTCGATCTTTTCAAGTTGTGTTAAATTCATACGATTGATAATACACGATAAGCTTTCTTTACAATCATTTATTTGAATGAATTTGTTGTTTTTTCATTGGAAAAGTTGATTGTTTTGAATGTTGTGATCCCCCCATCCCTAATCGTGACTCTTTGGCCACACCCTGGTTGGATTCACGATAAGGCTCAAACTACCTCCTAACTTAACACTCAAACGCCGACACTTACCATGTCCACTAATGCAATATACAAGAACATTCCCCCCATCACCGCAAAGACCCACTGATTCCCCTCCTCGGTCTGTTGACCAATTAAAATTCCAATAACTAGACCAATAAAACTTGAGCAAGCAGATAAGAAGTTGGCCAACATCGCTTGTTTAACCGTCATTCCAGATGAAATTAATACTGCAAAATCACCTGAAAATGAACAATACTTTGTTAGAGAGGAAAAAAATGATCAAATGATCCCGGGCCCCCACCTTAATAGGGCCCCAACTTGAGAACGAGAGCCTAAAATTGAGTTCTTCTTTTAATTGGTCAGAGTATTTTTGAAATCCCCTTACAGTACCTCCACATGCAATCTAGTTAAGTCTAGTTGGGTCTAGCTTAAAAATAATATTGATGTCATGGACTCATGGGGCCCCCAGAGAAGATTTGCTCCGGGCCCCGCGAATTCTCTCGGCGGCCCTGTACGTGTTGCCAAAGGTATCACTCGCAAGGATCCGAGGACGGGATCCGAGGACGTCTTGGTGTGAAGATTCTGAAATTTCAAAACCTTCTGAAATGGCATTTCCAGCCATTTTGGAGGGTTAGGTATCTTATCGAGGTTTGGGTATTTTATCCAAATATTTAACAAAAACTATTGTGTAAAATATATGTTAGAAAAGCAAGAAACCTTTCACTTGAAATTTTTGAGGTAAAGAAGAAATATTTTGGTTTGTAATTTCGAGAAATAACCGGCGACTGTCTGGGCTATAGACGGCGAGAATCGCCAGCTTCAGTTGGGAGCCCTGTTATATTATCAGCCAATTACGTGGAACACTTGAATAATTGCACTGTTTTTATTGCTCATTTGTATTAGCCCCTGTGACCTTGAGATGTCAACAAATTTGAAATAAGCATAAAAGTTTAAAATGTTGGTTTGAAGCATCACATATAAAGTGAATGTATACAGTCACACATGAGATGTTGCTTTGAAAATATTTTGACAGTAAAAATGAGACATACAGCCTGTCTTTTGCAACGTGAATACGTCAACCCCATACGATCTTGATTTTGGTTGGTTATCTGTTTCAGTCAGCGTGGATGACAACTTCACATGGCCGTTAGGCAGCACTTCCCCTTGCGATAGTAACTCCTGGTTAGCTGAGCTAATTGAAAACCTTCAGATACTCGTTTTAAAGTTTAAAGCAATGTTTTTATATTTTTCTGCGCCTGCTCATCCTTAGATGCGAACGAGGACGGCTGTTTATTCATACCAAATGCATGGGGTAATTCGTGAATAGTAATATTTCCACACCTACCTAGTTCATGAGGCAGCTCATGACAAAACACAGCAATAGATGTGCTCAGTCCACCACCAATATCTTGGGTGAATGCAGCCCCAATGGCGATACCATCAGTAATGTTATGTATAGTATCTCCAATAATGATCATCCATCCTACAGAACTGATCTTTTTCTTCTCAGAGCCATGAGAAGAATCTGTTAGTAAATTTGGGATATTGTCGTCATGCTTGTGATCATCAACTTTTGATTTTGAACATGACTTTTCCTCGGTTTTGCCACTGACCTAAATACAAGTACAGAAGTATTACAGATGTGCAATGCACAGCGAGTGTGGGGCATACACTTTTGAGTTTTTGCAGGCACGTTTTAAAATTCTGAATTTTAAACACTACTTAGGTCACAAAATTTAAAATAAGATGTTTCTCGAAGGCACGAAAAATATTAATGAGTCCTGGTCTGGGGTTCCGTTACATCTTTCAACCAACACGGCGGGCAAACAGCAAGTCTACAGAAATGGCGGGGAAAATGTCTGCCAAAATAAAAGGAGTAAATATAGGAATGAAAAGGGTTTACTATGAGGAAACGGCTGAAAGTACAAGGTAGGGAATTTCATCATTCTTGTGACAAGAAGTAGTTACATGTATACCGAGTTTACATTCTCCCAATTTTCTTTACACAAAACAATTTCCAGTCTTTCGAGTATAAGCATTGCATTTATCATTGACTCTCTTTTACTCAACCTGGATAAAAATCTCATTAATGGCATGGTCCTAGTCGACTATAAGAAAGCCTTTGATATGGTTGATCACTGTATCCTGCTTGATAAACTTGAAGCATACCATCTTGATCAGAGCTCGCTTGACTGGTTTAAATCTATCTATCTATCAGACCGTAAACAATATGTTAACTTCAAAGGCCAGTCTTCTACAACGAAAGTAATCACGGACGGAGTACCACGGGGTTCTATCCTTGGGCCTCTATTGTTTCTCGTTTTTATCAACGATTTGCCTCTACATATCGACACCCAAGTAGATTTATTCGCTGATGACACTAACTTACTCGCTGCCACTGATTATAATGATATTAATGAACTTAACGAGAAATTATCTCTGGAAGTCTCTAACGTTCATAACTGGGCCATTACCAATAAACTGCCTCTCAATACCACTAAGACTAAAACCATTCTGATTTCTAGTAAACGTCTTAAAGCTAAGCTTACTCCTGAAAATCAAACTCTCAATATTAAATTGAACGATGATTCATTAGAACAAGCGCACACTGTGAAATTACTGGGCTTTAATATTGATGAAGATTTAAACTTTGACACTCATGTTGATATAATGGCAATGAAACTATCGAAACGTATTGGAATATTGAAGTCCATAAAATCCTACCTGCCTCGAAACGAACGTATTCTTTTCTACAATGCTATGATCAAACCTCTATTTCTCTATTGTAGTATAACCTGGACAAACTGTAGTAAGAACAATATCACTAAAATTTTCAAACTTCAAAAACGCTGTGCCAGAATTATCCTTGACGCTGAACCTCGTCATTCCTCGATTAATCTATTTAATAATCTTGGTTGGTTACCTTTTTACGTAGAGTCGGATATCAGAAAATGTATTATGATCTACAAGCGTACTATTAATGCTACTCCGGAGTACTTAAACAGACTATTACATTTAAATAGCCAACAACATACGAGGAACACTCGCAGTGCTGATTTAAGTTTTGTAACTCCAAAATACAATAGAGCTACAGAAGCAGGAAGAACTTTTTCTATAACCGCTATAGGCCTCTGGAACAAATTACCTTTAAGTTTCCGTTCAGCTAGCTCCATTAACTGTTTTAAATACTTATTATATAATTGCTTCCGTACGCACCAGATTGAATTTAAACAATTTACTTCTTTTCCTGATTTCAAATTTAAGTAATAAATAATTGTAATATATGTAGCTAATGTTCTCTTTTAAATAAATGTACTGTCATATATACCTCATGTAATATAACCTTTTTAATTAAGTAAACTTGAAAGTCGACTGAATATTGACTTATAATCATAGATATATATAAATGTTGTAAATAGACAATAGATATAGTCCCTAATTTTTTGTAAATTTTTACGAGGGCCACAAGTTCATTAGTACTTCGTACTATTAAGTGTCACCCTCTTTAAATAAAGTCTCCATCTATCTATCTATGTATCTATCTATCTATCTATCTATAAGCAGTCAATACACTTCAAGACTTCAAGATAAACTACAAAAATTTCAATCCCGTGCAGCTAGAGTGATTACTGGAGCCAGTTATGATATTAGGTCTACTGATGTTTTGGATGCTCTCGGTTGGCAAACACTTGATGTGAAACGTTTAGAAAATAAATTAATAATGATGTACAAAATATTTAATAACCACACTGCCCCTAATCTAAACGAGTGTTTCTGCAAAAGAAACATAATTCAATCTAATTATAATTTGCGTAGTACCGATACAGATCTAATGCTTACTTAAGCCTAATAGTGAATTTTTAAAGAAAACTTTTCAATCAATCAATCAATCAATTTTATTGAGCACCATTATTTCAATTAAGTTATTTACATTAAATATTTGGATCCTGATTTGGGTGCAAGCTAGCAGCAGTAACCATTAGGTTAAACGAGGCAGCTAGCTTAAATAGCTAGCTTTTTCGATATAGTGGTGCCATGCAATGGAATCATCTTTCTGAGGATTCAAAAAATTCTGGAACCCTTTCTTCTTTTAAAAGAAAAATACGTCGGCATGAACACCTCCTTTGGATCGCACCAATTGTTAAGTTTTTATATAATTCCTTTTCTATTATCCTTTGCTTCCTTGTTTTTTTCTATATAGTTTAACTTGTATATAGTTTAATGTGTATACTCTTTAATTTGTAAATAGTTATTGTGACGCCCCTCATGAAAACCAGCTCATGTTGATCGAGGCTATAGCGTGTTTAAATAAAGTTTTACCATACCATACCATACCATACCATACCATACCGTACCGTACCATACCATACCATACCATACCATACCATACCATACCATACCAAACCAAACCAAACCAAACCATACCATACCATACCACGCGGACGTTTGAGCGCAGTATTCCTTCTATTTAGAAGCATGTACTAACCTGATTAAATATAACTTGTGTTGTATCATGAGTATGATCCCTCTCAGGGAGTGGACTGGAAGTAAGACGCATCTCATGACGTTCCACTGTTCGACATGAATTATTTCGTTCAAACGGACTGTGCTTGCGAGTATGCTATATTTGTGTTAAAACAGAGATGAAGAATTAGAATCACAACACAATATTTAGTATAAAGTAATTTAGTCGGTAAAAATGTATCTCTGACATGTCTTGGAATGAAACATGATTGGACTGATGCGACTAAGGAATTTTGGAGTCGATTGTAGTGTTTGTAACTTAGTTTGTATGTGCAATTGTGCTCCTTTTTCGAACTCGTAGTTTGAATACTTTCCAGAAACCTGTACATTATTTTAAATACTAGGTATATATTGAGTATTGAGTTTGTACCAGCGCAAGTACACGGCAATAGTCATTGGCGTACCAGTCAGGTACGACCAAAAATCTTGAATTATCGCATCCTGTGTCGAGCTGGGGAAATCGCTCATTCGCTCAGTGTTACTATACAGGAGTAAACCGAAGTACCCAGAAAGGACTCGGCCTGGGCTGCATCTTCGCCAGACCTCAAGAAAATATTTTCCAGCACGGAATTACAGCCAGTAAATAAGTACCTCTATCAGCAGGTATTCGAGATTGATAGTCCATCCTATTGTAAGCATTATACAAGTCAGGTATTATATCTTTTCTATGCATTATATCTTTTCAGCATAGGTTCAGATTTAACTTCCACTACCGCTAACATTAACCAATCAGATGCATTTTAGTGCTGTTCGCCGGAGGGCCGGAGTTTTGGTCTATTTTGCTGGAGCCGGAGTTTGTTCAACTCCAGCAGCACTTAGTTGTGCTGAAACTACTGTCGAACATCGACGAAAAAGTAAATACTCGCATTGATACTGCGTATAGACTTGCCACGAACATAGTAGGAAGTTTTAAATGCGAAGTTTTAAAATAAAAAACAAAGATAGTGCTTCCACTTTGAAATGTGAAATTTCCATTAAATTTCGAATTTGTCGGAGCTGGAAATTTTCTGCCGGAGCCGGAGTTTTTTTTCCAGAGCCGGAGGTGAAAAACCCGGAGTTTGCACAGGACCAATGCGTTTAATCTATCCGATCAACCAAACAGAAGCGTATACTGAAGGCAGTGAGAGGTAGCGGTACCTAATACGTATACCTATATATAATTGTATGTCAATTACACCGTGCAATTTCATTAGAAATCACCCCAAAGGCCAAAACTTCAACGATTTAAAAATTATTACAATATTACAAACCTCGATATTGTGTGAGTGACCATGACCACCTGATTGCAGGAAAAGATGAGTAAATGTTTCAAATAAAAAGAATCCATAGATACCAGAAGCCACGACTAGAAACTTCCACAAAAATGCTTTGCCGTCCTCGTTTCCATGTTCGGAATGTCCATCTTCGGAGCCATGACTACTAGCGTGGAAACCTGCTGCCTACAAAACAGATCTTAGATTTAGTAACAACGGTATTGGAAGTAAGAAAAGCCGATATACGCTTTAGGTAAGTACCGTACACCCTCGAGTGTAACCAGGCATTACAAGGTCTATTAATTTCGTAACTATTTGGTCGTTCCAAACATAAACCTTCCTGAATAGAATCCAGTTGGGCAATGGACAACTTGCAAGTTAGACTAAATTTTAATCTAAGTAAAGATAACTCAAGGGAATCAAACACAACAGTTAAAAAGAACATATTATAAATGAAATTAGTAAAATTGCCAAATTTGGTTGCGAAATGTTGTAAAATACAGAAAATATAGCCTTGCGAAGTTTGCATATTTTCAGTATATTTGTATTACGTGCGGAAATTGTTACCACTTTCGGCTCAAAAATGGTAACAATTTCCGCACGTAATACAAACATACTGAAAAATTCGCAAGGCTATATTTTCTGTATTTTACAACATTTCGTAACCAAATTTTGCAATTTTACTGATTTTAATAAGTTCTTTACGGGAATTTACCTTTTTTTTCCAATCAAAAATTAGTCTAACATGCAAGTTGTCTATTACAATGTATGGACTACAATATGCTCACATACAACCCTTTCATCAAAACGTTTGCTGTAGATAACCGACGATTTAGAACATTTGCAAGGAAAAGTTTTCCTACATTTCTAAAGTTATTTGTGCAGCCTGAAACGCAACAATTATAATAAGGCATCTTTTAATATATATTTAGCTCGTTCACTATAACTTGTTTCCCCATAGATATCTTATATACACTAGATAGTGCATCTAATTATTCTACAATTCAAAAATTGAAGCCGTGATTGCAGACTCCCATGAAATGAGAGTCTGCAATGAAATGAGACTCGTGATTGCATATTCCCACGAAATGAGAAGATTGGTATGTTTTCTATTTCTTAAACACGGAACTTAAATATTAAGCTAAACCTATTCCAAATACATTTTTAAACTATTCAAATGATGAAAGTTAATTATTGTTTTTTAAGCGTTTATTAGCGAGTGGGAAATACCAACATGGTCGCCATCTATTCAAATGGGCGTAACCGCTGAATATTCTTGGCTTCAATTTTATTAGTGACATCAACTAGACCCAGTCCTCTGCTCGATTGGGAAATGGCTAATTTAATAACTCACGAAACTGGACAATATGTAAAGCACTATATATGTACATGTACACTCTAAAAACACTCTGGTTAAATTTGGGTTAATTCAACCAGGATGGGGTTAAAAATCCACCTACACAATCCTGGTTAAGAAAATTAAACCATTTTCCTGGTTAAAAGTCCAAAGAAGTATGGCCAGATTTTTGTTGAATCAATAATTTTTAACCAGGAAATCAGTTAATTTAACCAGGAATGTGCTAGGTAGTTTATTGATCCAGTTCCTGGTTGAATTTAACCAGAGTGTTTTTAGAGTGTATAGTGCAAGCCTGACCTCAACATAATCTATCCTAAAATGTGGATTATAACGATCAGCTATTTGCGGAACAAAAGCCGATTAATCTCATTTGCACGGACATTTTGACCGTTAAAATAAGCAGTTTTCAATTGAATTAAAAGTACTGTATATTATTTGATTAGTACTGTTCATAAAGCATAAAAGCGCGAGAACACAAAACATTTTCTTGGTTTGCTGTGACAAGCAACCAAATCACATGACAAGTTTGTTTATGGTGCCAGACATGCAGAAAGTTCCAAAACAATATCCACGAATTTTTCAGTTGCATGGAACGTTGGGAATGCTTGCCAAAAACTAAGTATATGTCATGTGAACCAAGAACTTTTCAACCAAGAACTTTTCAGTTGCATGGATCGTTGTCAATCCTTGCCAAAAACTAAGTAATTTGATTGATCATGCAGGAAGTGATCATCACGAGTTATCAAACTGATATAGTTCGTCAACTGAATGTAAATAAAAAAGCTGGTCAATCAATATTTAATAAATCTGTGAGTAACTGCACAGTTGAAATTGTTATAATCCATAATACGATTCCCACAATTTATTCTGGTACTATACCGGGTGTCCCCAAAAAACTGGTACTGTTTGATTTCATGTAACATAAAAGCTATAAAAGCTATCGCAATGGAATAAAGATGATTGCATTCAGAAAGGACTAACTTAGATTTTGATATATAGCACTTGAATTTACATGCAATACTGTGCGAGATACAACCAAAATAAAAACATTTATTATTTAATACGTATAATCGGTAATTATAAGGTTGTTTTATGCTAATTTTTTCAAAAACAGTATGCAGTTCAACGTTCAAACATCAATAGCGCAGTCAATATTGCATGTAAATTCAAGGGCTACATATCTAAGTTATTCCTTTCTGAACGCAATGATCTTTATTTCATCGCGATAGCTTTTATAGCTTTTACGTTACATGAAATCAAACATTGTCCAGTTTTTGGGGGGGTATATATATAAATGATGAAACGTACATGTGGTATAAGATGAAACAGAGCATCTCCAGTAAGAGTACCAATAGCGAGACCAACTAGAACAATGATTATCTTTTTGTATATTCGTCCGTTCATGGTAGGAATTACTGCAATGCCAGCAAGTGATAGCAAACTGATGATTAGAACAGATACAAAACCATACAGCCAGACTAGAAAACAAATGAAAAATATTGGTTAGTTTATGCTAAAAAAAATTTAGATACACTACGGAACTAACAGCTATTGGAATTATCAGAAATTAATTCGGCGAACAAAGATACAACTACACCTATAGTCAAGATTCATATGGAACGGAGCAAAGCATTTATGTTTTATTTTTGTCATAAACATTATATCACCTGAATTTGGGGACTGCGTGCAGATAAATATACAAGGAAAACAAACTATCTATTTATTTCAAAACTTCTAATCCCGAAGCTTGCAAAAATCTGCATGATAACACAAATTCGCTTTGTGTGAAAACATTTGTCGCTTGCGTCGTACTGTTATGATTTAAGCATTCTCATGGAAAGTAAAAACCAGCTGCATAAATATTAAAATTAAACAAAGGCATCTTATTATAAGAAACGAATCTTTTTTACTTTCACCTCCAGCTGTTTTCAGTCAACCTCGTAACCAGAGCTTCTGCGATTAGAGCCACAGGCGCAAAAGCCCTGGGTACAAGGTTGATTTTCAGTCGGTTTGTCAATGTTCGTTAGGGACGGACCATTAGAAAAGTGATGGGGTGGGGTGGGGCAAAGCCAAAAAAAAAATTATCCCCAGAAAAAAATTAGGAGAAAAAAAATCTTCCCAGGCATAGTGCAAAAAAAATTCCTAGCTTGGAAGACAGGCCTATAAATTTCGTTTAAAAAAAAATTTCCAGCCATCAAGTGAGAAAAAAAAATTCTTTTATAGGTGTACAAAAAAAATATATTGCCTCTTAGAAAATCCCCACTTTTCTAATGGTCCGTCCAATTACTTTTCTAATGGTCCGTCCAATCACTTTTCTAATGGTCCGTCCAATCACTTTTCTAATGGTCCGTCCCTTAGGGCCTCCACCTGATAAACACGTATCAAAAGATTTTCAAAACTCATTTTGTGACACGGTCATTGGGCCACACTTCATTCAGCAAACCAACCATCACATGACTGACTTTATACATAGCGAGAGAAAGGTCGACGACAATATTAGTATTAGCCTTTATTAACAGCAGTGTCATTTTAATTAACCTTTCTATTAAGATTATTTCTATTGACGCCGGTTTGGCACAGCAGTCGAGACATCGTATCACCGATGAAGGGCGTTTTAATCATATTGCTTTGATATCAATCATGAAACCGAGACTAATTTGCACACAGGAATTTAATTATACAATATCAAGATTTTGTTGGCATCTCACTCGATTGAATATTAGTTCAAGGGTCTTGTAAGATGTAAATCATCGACTGGAAATTTATATACATTTAAAAAACTCATTAATAATTCAGGAGCAAAACACAAAGAAAAAACATAAGCGTGTCGTGGTTTTATATGTGATAAAAAATCATGTTAATTTACATAAACTTTAGCTTTGATTTTCTCGGTTTAGACAAAGTTTATTTTAAAAATTACTTCGCTAATGTACTCCGCATCAGAAGATGGGTCGTTTTTTAAGCCATTTAAAACACTCCTACTCGTGCTTTAAATAGTACATAAAGTACAGGTTTCTGAATGTTTTCAAACTACGAGTTCGAAAAAGGAGCACAATTGCATGTAAGACAAACACTACAATCGACTCAAACATTCCTAGTTTCATCAGTCCAATTTATATGTTTCATTGCAAGACATGTCAGATATACACACATGCCAACTCTTGGACGAGATATATCGCCTTAACTATCCAATTAAGTGCCTATACACGAATTAACCCGGGTCTGGAAAGGCCAACTATAAAGATTTAATTAAAATAATTTAATTTAAGAAATCTAAAATGCTAATGTACGCTAATGTACTC